ATTTTTACTATGTAGGAAATCAAACATATACAGGGTGGCCCAAAAAGTACGTAATATACTCATTGTGTCCAAACTGTTACTTTAATCGAAATAGTTTTGAAACAAAACTTGTTCCATACTTTAATGCAAGATCGTCTGCAGCATCTAAATTTGATTTACTATACAGTGTTCAAAAATAGGACAAATTGGGATATAGAGATCAAATTCAGCTTAAAAAAAAGGTGAATTTTTCTTCAAAACGATGTTATATCACCGTACCTCCTCTAATTGCGATTGTTTTGGTCATTTAAACCAAATCAAAAAACATTTGAATGTCGTCGAGATTTTTTTCATGGCCCCACATTTTGGCATTTTGAAAACTTTTCGAATGGACTGTACTTTTTCAAAATAATTCATATTTAAATGTTATTAAAAACGGAAACAAGTTTTGTTTGAAAAATTTCCAAATTAATGCAATATAATTCATTTTTTTTTTGCGCGGGGACAAAGCCGTTAATAAAAACGTTTGAAATTGTTTTAGAACTACAACTTTTTGGGAAACGGCCGCAGACGCATACCTTCGGAAACCAAAACTGAAAGAATCGATAACCGTTGAAGTTTCCGATTCCGACTTAGAAGCAGAAATTGGATCACAACATTGCGAAAACGAATTAGATTCCGACTTAGAATTAGTTAACTTCAATCGATCTTTATCCCAAGGAAACAATGAAACAATAACAAAGAAAACGACAATAGAACACAGCCAATCTGTACTTTAATATTAACAATAACAGTGCAGCGAAAAAATTTTACCTATTTTACGAAAAAATAATTTCTATTAACAATTTCTGGAGCCTGTGATAATTTATTTATTCAATGTTAAAAAGGAAAAACGAGTAAGTTTAAGGTATAAAATTCTTCAAAGTGAACGATAATGAAAACAGTTTAATAGTTTTAAATGGTTTCTTTTTTTAATTTAAACAAAAGCATTGAAACCCCATTATACACTTTAAACATTTAAAGTTTTATAATGCTACTATTTCCATTTTGTCGCACAATGTTATTTAATTTTTTATGCTGGATGTGACAACAATTTATTACACTTCAACACTTCAAGAAATTTTAATACAAACTATCCAAAGAAATGCATAACTTTAGCCGCATTAAAGACGCATGCCGCATGCCGTTTCATAAAGAGAAACGAAATATCGTGTTGCAGAATAAAAATATTCCAACCAGATACTGGAATTTTAACAAAACCATTTGTTTTAGTTTGTTCTATTCATTAAGCGTCTGCGATGACAAAGAAAATTTTGTTTGTAGAAAAATAACCAAACATTTTCATGTGTATGTTTCTGTATCATATTCCGTTATCATTATATTATAACAAAATATAATACCAAAGAGCGAGCTGCGTTTCAACATTTGTATTACTTACATTTACATAATAAATTTACAGTTCAGAACAAAGTTCTAAACACTAAAACACATTGCACTTTAACCTTTAACGTTCCAAACACTCTACTAATATGCAACACCAGTTAATTTCAAACCATAGTTTCAAACATAATAAACGTGATAAAAATAGAATCGCCAAAAATGGTCGCCATCTAGCGAAAATACATATTATCAATTAAGTCAACGGCGGCATTTTGAAAATACATAAATTTATACATTGATAAAATTATTACAACTATAATTATGCTTTCTCTTTTGCTGCACTGTTATTAAATATTACCATGCCTTATTCTAATGCAGCCATACCACTAAATTAATTAAACAGTAGGTACGTCTACTCAAACAAATTTACCAAAAATTATCTTTCTTTCGATTTTATTTCTTTTGCATATAAGTACTTTATAAATCGTTATACGGAAAAGCTTTGAAGTATTGTTTTAAAAAAATGAAGTTTTTTTAATGAAAGACAATAGTTAATAAGATGCACAAAAATATTTTAATAATGTATAAAAACTTTGTAAACTAGAAGTAACATCAGTTGCACAAATAAATCTTTAAATTTTTTAAAATATCTTTATAGTCAGTAAAAAGGAATTTTCTCTTTTCGAACTTAAAATCATACCATAAATATTTATATATGTGATTAGTTTCTTTATATACAACAAATTAGGATCATAAAAATAAATTATAATATAATATTGTACTTGTACTTACTGTTAAGACTTTTAGAGTATTTTTTGCATTAAATATTATTCATACGTTACTATAATTGTTTTTATATTTTACTGCCAATATAGGTTTAAGTAGGTATCAACTAC